CAAATGCCCTATCACATGGGAAGGCAGCAAGACTTTGTCCTGGCACTACTCATCCAGGTTCAACTGATAATGACAAGAATCAATAGATATGGCCACATTTTTCCATCTCTTATTTTCTAAATAAACCGAAATTACAGAAGTTTATCTGAGAAAGCGTAACTCAGTTGCTCAGCATCTTGTATTACCTACAACTTCCATCAATATTTTTGCAGTAAACTACACACACACACACTGAGAACCAAGGAGGAACCCTCCTGAATCTATAGGAATATCCCAGAACACAGGCCAGCCCTTGTGAAAGGGACAAAGGGCTCTGTGCTTCCCCACTGCTTGCGTAAGCAGCTCAAGACATTTCCATCACGTGGAGCTTCAGTCCAGCTGCATTTCAGATAGCTGTCTAATAATAAAACTCTGAAGGATTAACATCTAGAAAGCTCAAAGCACAAACAGTAACCAGAACTAAAGAAAAAAAATCATTGAAAGGCCAAAATGAATCTCAATCAAAATATGACTTCCTTGATAATGCTGGAGCTATAACACAATTACTACATCTCTTCACGTCCCGGGCAAGTGTTGATACAGTAATTATATAGTGCCAAGACACACAATCATCCAAGTTGGTTGCACTCTGCATGCTAACATTGTCATTTCTTGTCTATGCCTGCTATCACACACTTGGTCACTGCAAAAGCAATGATCAGATTTTTTTTCCAATTTTAAGTTATTCATTTAACACTTAACATGAACATTTAACAAGTGAAAATACATTGTTCAGACTATTCCATAAAAAGGTTTTTTTTTCCTGGATCTATTAGTTGTATTATTTGGTAGTTACCTAATGAGTAAAAACCTAGAGGTTGCAGCTAAAGACCGAGTTTGTAATACAATGTTCATAAGCACAGTAGTGAGCATACAAGTATGATGTGCTGCATAACCGCAGTTTCATGAGTTCATTTTCACCAGCAGCAAGCTTAAAGACACAAGCATCTCAGAGCTGAGAATAGACAAGTATGTCCACAGTCTTTAATACTCAGTTAAAAGTACAGCTCTCATAGCCTTGTATTTTACAGGACCATCAGCCTTCCATAGTCGGTTTTCCTACTATCTGCTCTAAACCACTCCTACTTACTAGTTCTTCTAGCTTTGAAAATGCATTTAAGGTGAAGTAGGAAGCAAAGGAGCATCTGTAGATTAGCCAGCCCAAGAAAATGACCATTTCAAAGGGACTTAGCATCTATTTCTACTGCTGTAGGAGGGAGTTTCCAGGCACACTAGGTTCTCAGGTACTTACACAGTGAACACAGAGCCACCAAGCAGTGTGCTGTGCACAAGCGCAGCATCCCTCTGCACCGCGCTATTCAGCACTGGGGCAAACACACTGCTTAGCCTGAACAAAATCTCTAATGATTAGTGTCAAAATGAGCTAAAGAATGCTCTAAAAAAAAAGGAGAGCATTAGAGGCTTACAGCAGTAAACAAAAAAAATGGGAATAGTTCAGCTAAAATGGCAATGCTTTCAGAAAACATGCTTGGTAGATGGTTGGCTATTTACAATCACATGGAGGTATTCACCTAACTTCCACTGATGCTGGTTTGTATGTCCTGTTGATAAGCAATGTCTTATGGAAAAACTCCATTACTGCTGGACAGAGACCAGGTACTGTTCACATGCCTGGCAGAGAAAGGCCCTTCCAGCTGCCCTCTCCACACTTTATTCTCCCCTCTGCATCCCCAGTAATCATGAGGACTGTGAGGCCTCTGAGATGCTGACACAGCATTATACTGCTTTGTTCTGAAGGATCCTACACATAATCCTAATGACAGGCATTGCACATTGGCTATTTGCTGAGGTCACTTGTAAAACTGTTATACTGCACACTGTGACCAGGGCCATTCCACAGATCCAAATGCCACCTGAGCAGCATTCCACATTGCTGCCCATGGTACAAGCTGGAAGGTAGACCCCATGAAGTTCAGCTGTGGGATTAGGCTACTGGAAGGGCATCCACAGCAGCCACAAGGAACTTGATCTTCTCCAGTAAAGTTGGTGTCCTCCCTGCAGAAACAGCACTGCTAGCTTCCCATAGTGACTGCTTCCACTTCCTGCATAGTGCTTTGCACTCTATAAATAGCCAGCTAGCATTTTTATTGTGGGCATATATATAATACATAACACTGAGATGTAACATACACTGCAGCAGATTAGTGTCAGAGACTACTCTCAATGCAGGAAGAGGAGAAGCTTGGGGACTACTCATGTCCACCTCTCGGGAAGCTTGAGGGAAACCACTGTCAGATGTTCCGGAAAGATCAAAATCTCATAATTTAACTCAACATTGTGGCTAACAGCTGAGCATTAGAACTGACAAGCAATAACTGCAGCATCATTGCCATAATTGCCACTCTATAACAAAGAGCTTCCAGAAGGGAAGCAGCAATTACAATGTATTTTTACTAGAGCAGTCAGAAATAATGGATTTTGCACTGTGGTGATATTCACGCTCTGAGAATCAAAAGGTCTGCCTAGCTCAGTAACTTTTCCCAATGCACGGGCAGAAGTGGACACTTAAGAGCAGCATTACAGAGCGGAGTGCGCAGCATCCGTCCCGCAGCACTTCCCCAGCCCCAGTGGGTTTCACTTGGGCCCTCCCTCCGCTGGAATCCCTGCGTTTCTGCCCTAAGAGCTCCCCTGGCAAAGTTGACTCCATGCTAACTGGCACACAGCAGCTACACGGCAAGTAGAAAGAGAGGTTAATGTCACATTTGATCGTGAAGAGTGCAGCACATTCACAGCCCATCTAGCTTAGGACCCAGCAAAGCATGGCTACAATCAAACTGCAAAAACTGGGTCTGTGCATACACATATACACACAGAGACCACATATACATGCATCAAGCACCTATCCAACTATAACACTTTACGCATTGACACACTATACATGTGATACAAGGACCTTTTTCTATGCACATGCACTCATTTGCCATGTGTGTAGGATGATGCAATTCCTAGTGCTTGGTTTACCTTTGTTAGGTCAGCAAGTTACCTAACAAACTACAAGAGAATCAGCCAAGTATTTTACTCCTATTAGAATATGAACTCAATTAATCCTTCTAAGACCGATAACATTTTAACTCTCAAGCAAGAAAGTCAGTCTCATCTCCTGAACTTCAGCGTTCACTCTATCCCATTAAATTCCATGCAGCAAATGAGCAATTTTCTGAAGAAAAATGATACCAGTGGCTAAAATAATCAAGGTGCACATGAAAGTAGTAAACCAGAAGAGAATAAAGAGAGAAAAGAAATTACTACAATTCTGATATTTAGGCCAACTGATCTTCTAAGAGTATCTTTTACGCTTTCGTTTTCTTTGATCTGCCAACACCAGCTTTTTGTTTGTTCTTCCAGTTTAATGTGTTTTCTGGTAGTTGAAGAGCTTTTAGTTGTGACCCTCATTTGGGAAAGTTATCCTTGAAAGCATTTCTTCCAGACTATCATCATTTTGATTTCAGGCTAACAATGCTTCTTTTTATGCAAGAAGCAAAGGCAAAATATCCCCCCCCCAACACTCTTCCCCCATCATGTATATATTTTGTCTTGAAGCTCAGCTGGTTGAATCGCCCGACATGACACATGCTCTCTCAGCTACCGCTATTCAAAAGTCTCACTTGCATGAACTGTACGACATTAGTTACATCTGAAAGTGAAATAAAAGCAATCTGTTCAAAATGGCATAATTTGCCATAATTCTGAAAGTCAAGTTTCCGAACCCCATTACACGTCCTACCTGTAGTCATAGACATTTGAACCACACAAGCACCCTACAGTAGATAGATTTTGCCCAAAAGGAAAAAGCATTCTGAAGAGGTAAGCAAACAAAAGATCCGCACACCTTGATATTCATACTTGATATACTTCAGAATTGAAATAAAAATCTTTTTAACTTCCTATTGGCAATAAAGTATTTTAGAGCATTTAAAAAGAAAAATAATCTTACTCCTAGTGGTTAGTTCTGCTCCTCAGATTTACAAAGAACACAAAAAGTAAAAAAGTATTCTGAAATTTTCCTAAAGATCCCCACCAAATGACTTGGATGGTGCATATAAAATTACATGGCTACAGGCATTGCTTCAAAGTATCAGCCATGCCTTTGGAAGAAGGATCTTTGCAGACACTACAGGATGTATAAAACTTCCTACCACACTTAAAAAGCTTACTTGATTAATTTAACTGGCATCACACAATTTCTCACTCACGCTCCATCCATCAGCAGCACAGATTAAGCTTTCTTCTTATAGTATTTAACTCACCATGCAATCATATTTTAGAACAATCATATTTGAGAAGGCTGGGGGCAGGGGGGGGACCTGATCAGCGTGTATAAATACCTCAAGGGAGGCAGTGAGGAGGAGGGGGGCGGCCTCTTTTCAGTGGTGAGCAGGGATAGGACTAGAGGAAATGGCTTCAAACTGAAGCATCGGAAGTTCCACAGGAACTTAAGGAAGCATTTCTTCACTGTGAGGGTGACAAAGCACTGGAACAGGCTGCCCAGAGAGGTTGTGGAGTCTCCTTCTTTGGAGATCTTTAAAACCCGCTTGGATGCAGCCCTGTGCCACGTGCTCTAAGTGACCCTGCGTGAGCAGGGGGGTTGGACTCGATGACCTCTGAGGTCCCTTCCAACCTTCGGCATTCTATGATTCTATGAAAACCTGAAAGCCATATCCCATGCCTGTACTATATTAGGCCTAACCATTCTGTTGGAGGTAAGTTGAAGAATACTCCAAGAGATTAAATTTTCTAATAATATCCTAATGAATAGATTAGGTATTCTAATATTTAATCCCCCTAATTCAAAGAGTTTTTTTCTTTTTTTTTTTTGATAATTCACATACAGATGGGAGTTTAAGGCAGAGAAGAGACGGGAGATCAGGGAGATCTATTATAATCAAGTTTGAAAGGAAATTATCAAGAGCCTTAACAATCCGTACCATCAAAAAACGCTTTATTACAGACCACTCCAAATACTCCAGGAGTTACTTTTGTAGGGTGTTGCCCAGACTGCCCCAAGTTGGGATGTCCTGAAGCGTGGAACACCCTCTGGCAGTGTCAGTCCCTGCCAGAGTGTGCCTGCATCGCTCCTGCAACCACTATCCAGCATCTGAAAAAAACCTGAAGCCAAAATAGAAACTACAAGAATACAGAAGCTTCCTAAATTAATCCCTTGGTGGTAAACACAGCAATTAGCGTGCTCACTTTTACATTCAAACGTTCAATATGTGTTCAAAGTACATTTACAAAACAGAGGATCTTCACTTGCATAGTAATTTCACCTTATGTTGTTTTGCACAAAGATTGTTAGTGGCTATTAAGAAAAAAGTGTCTGTCAGACAGCAGCCTTTAAAAGTGATTGTTGATGACACAATGTCCAAAATTACAACCAGGAATTATAAAAGCTTATCATTTCAATTATCGTATCTTGTTCTAAATCTTTCAGAATAGTGACATTTGCAATTAGCTTCATTCCACATTATCATACAGGGAAATTTCTTTGTTAAGCTCTATTAGCACTGTTAGTAAATTCTAATTATTTTTAATAACTTAAGAATGTCATAAATTAAATTATAGTATTCAATGAAAGAATTGCAAATTACAACTGAATGAAAATATTGGCCTTTACTCAAATTTCTTCCTTCCTTCCGTGAAAGGTCACTAAATGTTCTAAGCTGGAACCACCTGATGCACTGAAAACAAAACTCTAGAGCATAAGCCATAGCTGGAAGTCGTATTAGCTTTCTAAAACACAGAGTAAATGTCACAAACACCAAACATCTTCAAAAGCGTAAGTTAGAAAAATGTACATAAAAACTTACTGTTATTTTCTTGCTGCAGAATCTAGGTGCTCAGTGAAAGCCTGGAGTTGGAAGTTATTGCCTGTTAAAAAGTCAAAACAACAGGAATATGTTAATTTATTACAGACCAAGCCTTGAATTGTAAAAGCTAATAAGAATCTTTTCATATTATTAACAAGAAATATACTCACAACATCATCTATTTTTCTTCTCTTTTATGAATTAAGAATCACAAATGCAGGGGAAGCGGAAATTATGTCTTAATAGAGACACTGTCAGAGACTGAAATAAGAAATGCCACCTTGGGACTACAGAAAGTTCCGGAAAATGTACAAATAAAATCTAGTCAAGTGAAAAACAAGCCCTAACTTACTTTAGTGCTCCACTAGTAGACATAAATTACCACAATAAGGATATATTCTCTCATATTATCAAGAATATTAATAAGTAAAATGCAAAGATAAGGTCCAGAATAAGCACAGATGTATTAGCCATGACTGCTGACTTGCACACTGAAGCCAGTTTCTGCTTTCAGGAGATTCGTCAAATTTCATACTTGAAAAACATCAATCCAGTCAAAAAAACCAAAACTACTACAAAGCCAAGTATCACCAGCTAGTTAAATAGTTCATATAATACAGCAGTTGAGATTATGTAAGAAGCAAAACAGTGCTCATGCATCAGACACCCCTTTTCTCTTTCATCATCAATGTAAGTGGGAAAGAGCTCTACTTCACTTCCTTTAGCCTCCAGATCAAAGTGAAATGTCACCAAAAAGAAAAAGTCACATGAAAATAGACATCAAGATTTACATAATGATAACATATGTATGAGCTCTATTATGAGTAATACTACTTGAAATTTCAATTATACTTCTAAGATTTTTTTATTACTATTATGGCCCAATATCACTCATCTTTCCACAGAGACTAAAAGTTAAATTCTGCCAAATTTTACTTACATTTTATTTTTGTCTTTAAAAGGATTTATTCACTTGAATTGAAATTGACTGGGTTAAATCCATACTTCAATTATTCAACAGCTTTGCAAATTTTCACAAATAATAGGAGGACTTTGTATAAGTCGTATATATTTAAATATATTAAAACAGTCTGCATTGAATAATCTTGTAGATTTCCCAGGAAAGCTTTTCTGTAGTTTTATACTACCTACTTTGAAAATATAGATAACATTTTATACTCCGAAACACTTTAATAGCCTGTTTCAAATGATAAATTTTGACCATGTTAATGACTCCTCTTGAACTTCCAATGTTGGAAGAAAAAAGAAAAATGAATTAAGGAAATAGCAAACTCCATACAAAGAAGCAACATATTTAAAATAGAAAAACACAGCTTTTCTTTGGTATTTTGGTAAGTTATGAGTTCTAACATAAAACAGCATGATAGAAACTTTATTATTGAATAGTCAAGAATACAGAAACAGTCCTTAAATACTGTCTTAAGATTAGGCCATTACAAGCAAGAAAGTTTCCTTAAAACAGCAAACAGGCCTACTCTGAGCTGTAAGGGTCTCCAGCAACAATCAAGCAGATTATCATCAACATTACATGGTAAGTCACTCAAAATGCCTTTTTAAAAAAGACAAGAATATACAATAATATAAAAACAAACTGTAGAAGATTTTTGATTGAAAGCCACTTTTCAGTATTTGAATTGTCACCAACTCCTTTTCTTTCAGATTTGGAAGAACAACTACAGCTGGTCAGCAGCTACTGACCATAACTTCTAGAGCTCTGCTAAGTACTTTTTTTTTTAAAATAGTGACAAACCCCACAAGTCTGCAGTGACAGAGATCCAACACATCTCTCTTCTACTCACTATTAGAGAATTAGCAATCCCTGACAACAGGCATATACATGTGCGTGTGTATATACATACATATATGCATCATTACGTAGCTTATAGTATCAAAACCAGGTTTTGTTTTGTTTTTTACCATCTTGGAATTGTGTTCCTGCCCTCTCCCAGAATAATAACTGAGCCGGTGCAGGCACAGCCCTCAATCACCTTCCATATGGTATTAGGTCACAAAGAGTGGGTTGCAAACACCTCATAATTAGGAGTCGGTCATTGACATCTCTGACAAAAAGGAAGAGAAGAAGAGTCACAGGATCCATACTGACTAGGGCAGCTCAAAGATTTCTGCTACTTTTTTCCTCTGTTGGATAAATAAAATTGACAACCACTAAAAATGACGCCTGGGAAGAAGTATGCACAGCCATGGATTCAACTTAACAGAGGGTGAAATACCTATGGGTCAGACTTGGCATTTAACACACTCCCAAGTCAAGGACCTTAAATTTAACACACAGATATAATTATGTTATATTATTAATGAGGAAAAAATAGGAGAGGAAAACTGATGAGATGTTAACAACGCAGAGAATAAGGGAGAAAGGCTTGAAAACAGTTTGAAATTTAAACTATAGTGCATTTGTCCTTTATTTTTCTGAAGCCACAAAACATTCCCTTTACCTAAACCTCAAAACAGACTCATCATACCAACCTTAAAATAGTTTAAGCACAATCAGAACCAATTTGTGCCAAGTCTATTTTGAGGGCTCATCTCACTGGGATGTTAAGATTCACTATAATTCTTAGATTATCTGCTTCATTTGCTACATTACATCTAAGAGTTAACAATATACTGTATTTTAAAATACGTCCATAACAATGTATTGAAAATGGAGTACCATTAGGGTAGATGGTTTCAGTACTGCAGTATTATTTGTGTGCTTCAAGAAAGCCAAGATGTCACATTTAATCAGAGGCATTGGTAATGTCAGAGCAGAGAAAAAGAAGGGGCATGGCAGCTAAATTAGGTACCTATAACAACTGTTAGCAGCCATTAAGATGTGAATCAAATAAAACTAATGAATGTGAGAAACAGGAAACTACAATCCCACCTTTTATAGGAATCAATATTCTGGATGCATGGACAGAAGGTAATGAAGCTGACAGACTGAACTGGTGTGTGCATATGTATATTTTTGGCTTATTTACAAGACTTGGATGCCAATTTTAAAAACATATTTTTACCAAGTTAATTTTGATTTCAAAGGGCTGACATTTTCCCTTAGCAAACAGTTATTTTGTCTTAGATAAAGACCCTCCCTCTAGTCTTTAAGACGACTGTGCATAACTTGCTAACTTTTTTCAACATGCTTTGGTAAAAAAAGTCTCAGGCATATTTTAGTTTGTTTATATAAAAAAAGTGCTGCAACAAGAGAATATCAAACGTAAACTCCAAATAAGGAAAAGCAAGATGCAAGGAAACCATAAGAACTAAGTTCTGTGTACAGTTGCTAGAGGACAAGGAGCAATAACCCTAATGCAATAGACTTCTACTCCTGCTGCCTTTTTTGCTTTTCAAAAACACAACTGATGAGGGCTATTTTTGAAGACCATCATACATGCCTTTTCTCTCCACAAACACCACCATATTAAACCAGAGCTTGTATACATCATGGTGCCCTCATTACGTACATTTAAAATAGAGAATCAAGGTAGGAACGGGACTAAAACAACACTACTAAACACTGCAAGTTTGTTTGCATTATGCCTGAAACAGCACTTTGCAAGTATTAGCAAATCACTACCATCTTCCCACTGAGATAAGAAGCCATCATCCCACATTTGCAAATTAGTAATCAAATCTGAAGCCTTAAATCATTTGAGCAGCATAGCAGAAAAGTGAGATGAATCAGCAGCACTCCTTGAAGGGCTATGACCAAAACTCAGCTGTGAATCTGTAGAACTAAGTCCTAAATTATTTTGGTTTTAACTGGTAACCACTGCACTGGAAAGTTCCATACCATCACCAACCTCAATTTATTAAGATATTTTTGAATATCAAGGGTTTGCTATGAAGTTGCCTCAGATCTGTAATAATTCACATACAAATGATACCAAAATAACTCTAATGAGTGAGCTCTAATGCCTGACCAGGGGAGGGAGAAAAAACCCACCCATACTTTTTCTTGAAGAAGTAGTTGCCAGAAATACGGACCCTTGCCCAGTGCCAAATCCCTAAATGCACCCATCCCAGGGAAAGATTCCCAAAGCCTGGCTCTAAATGCTGAGCTGAAACACTGGCTCATCCAAACTGTGACACTTGGCCATCAAAAGCAGAAGTTGAAGGTACTTTCCTCTTTCCAAAGGGGAAAAAAATAGCACTCTAAGTTACCAAATTCTACCACTATATAGAATGCTGGAAACAAGCTACTCTGCAATGACAAGTTAGGATTTACCAAAAATAATTCAGAATGGTTCTTAAGCTAAGAAAACCATATCAGCTAGTTTATACTAGACAGTTTCATTTGACTAGCAGGACATCAGAAATCTTATGTCCTGCTTGGAAACTAAACACTTCACAGCACACAGCTAACGCTAGTTTGTTGCTTTGAACGAGTCAATTAATTAGGTGCTTGTTGAAGAGGACTATTCTAGCCAAGATGCTCAGCACACAACACGCCCTAGCATCCAGTCATCGGCTTCGACCACCTCTGCTGCTAACCCAATGCTAGGCTACTCTTGCCTAGCATTGCATAAGCTTCAGCCCTGCAGCAGGTGCAAAAGCAAGGCAACCCTATGGCTTTCAAACTCACAAATATCTTTATCTCTTAGGAAGGGAACAAAATCATCACTGCTAAAGATTTCTATGATTTCCTGTCTCAGTAAAATTCTGGGCAAGTTCATGTGGTCTCGTGAAGTCTCAAAGCAAAGCAGCTTTGCAAAAATAAGTCTTTCACTGTGTCTAGATTAAGCTAAGACTTTATTTCAAGAGGAACTACAATATACAAAGCCAACAGACTTGTTGGCTCTAAAGTATCTAAAGCTCTAAAGCATCTGCCTGGGACTAACTAATGTCTAAGGGCAACATCATAATCTATGATCATACACAACTAAGCTAAGACAGGATTAGAGCAGCATTTGTACCACAAGAGTTTTTTCACAGAATCACAGAATATTCAAGGTTGGAGGGGGCCTCTAAAGATCATCTAGTCCAACATTCCTGCTCAAGCAGGTACACCTAGAGTTTTTGCACCACACTTGTTTATAAACGCGAACACACCAAAATAAAAAACTTCAAGTTGCCTGTAAGGATTAGAAACAAGCACATCAGTGAGCAGAAGCACAATCCGTTTTGCCCATCAATGAGAATGAGATAGTTGGAAGATGAACAATAGCAACATGGAAAGAGATGGCTCTTTGATCTATTTGTATGCTTACAGGACTAATGCCTACATGCTAGAGCTAAATTAAACTTCAAAATCTCTCCAGCAGAATAGGATTAATAACCATGGAAATGATTAACCAAGCTACAGAAAAGATTGTCCATCTCTTAAGTGTTTACAGAAACACTAGATCCTTTCTAACAGATAAGGTTCAGTTCAATCAGTGCTAGAGCCTCACATAAGATGTTCCAACTTCCTCTGAGTCCATCCTCTCCCTCATGGCCTGTTTTTAATGCTCTTACTGCTCTTTTCATCTCTGTTGGTATTTTGAGAGGTGCTAGTCCCATTAATTTTACAATCTGCTTTCTTTCTCCCTTTCCCAAACCTCCTGCTGCAAGTGCATCTCAACTCCTCGCTTTAGTTTCCTTAAGAGGTCAGTAACAGGGAGTTCTGTTGCTCTTAGTGACTGTTGGAAATCATTTCCATGCCCCCCTCCAAGACACCTCACATATATGAGGATGCAACCAAGGGAAATCAATTGCAAAAACAAAACAGTAAACCCATCTAAAGAGTTGATTGGTACACCAAGAATATCCATAACAGAAATCTATTAAAATAAAAGAGCTCTAAATGGTTTGAATTGGTCCCCTTAGTTTATAGATCTTCTTTATTGACAGAAAAGTAATCAACATATTTCACTCTGCAAATTAATCAAAAAAGAATTAAATGCTAGCAAAAAAAAAAAAGGAGTACCATAGATTTGAACTCAAAGGTTCCCTCCCACCCCACCTTTGCTCTTCCAAAGCACAATTCACATTGTGAACCTTCTACAGGGCTTCTTGTCAACTCACTAACAACCAAAACCAAATTCATTCCACAAAGAAACTGGCAAAAATTCACATTCAGCTGACTGTAATCTCCGAAGACTCCAAGTAGGCTATCCTCAATTAATCTGACCTCTACAGATTCCCTATTTTACAATTCATAACCTCCCAAATAATTGCTTTTTACATGTCATCGCAATGGAATCATCACAACAGGAAAATGTGTGAAAACTGAATGTCTGTATTACAGGATGCTTTGAAGAAAGAGGTTGGAAATTAGCTATTCCAAAGCAGTTAATTATCACCATATCTACAATTAGTAACAAGCTATACTGATTCTTTTGGGGCCTTTGTATCACAAATTTGAACATGTACTCCTCAACATACAGTTGCATGCGAGATTGGCAGATACGCGACAAAGAGCTAGCAGTATTTGCTAGCAGTAAAGTCAAGCAGATGACATTGCTCAGACACACATACATTTCTAAAAAAGTTTAAGCCAATCAGGTAATTATCAATAATCTGGTAAATAAGGCAACATTCCTCACCTGGAGCAGCTGAAAGCCATGATCATGCCAAGAGAACACATCCAAGTGCCCTACATGTTAAGCTCCTTCTACATTAGCCCCAAAGGAAAATACAAAGGTCCCTATTTCAGCTTCACGTGTCTGGTGGAGAGCTGGCACCACAGAAGTCAGGATAGCAATAAGTATTTGCCACTAAATGGAAACCATATAGGTCTCTGACAGGGTTTCAGGTACTGAGGTACACACAGCATGCTACTCTAACAGGCTAGAAAGACCAAAAAATATGAAAAGACAGGAGAGAAAAAAAAGGAAAAATTTAACCACAGTAATCAATTCCATGCCCTGCGTCTGCTGCTAGTGGGAGCTTACAGCAGGCAGCTTGTTAGACCACTGGTCAAAGAAATACCAAATTATATTCAACACTTACTGGATCTCAGACCTGCATGTATAAAAGTGTCTAAAGAAAAATTGCAATAGAATAAGCACAAGTACATTCAAATCAGTTTAAAGTTGCTAAATTTAAGTGACTTACTAAAAAGAAAAAAAGAAAATAAAGAGATATTTAACACTCCTGGGAGATCAATTGTGCACTTTAAAATGAAGGCAGAAAAAAAATTTGCTTTATGGAAAATTAAGGTAAAATTAAAAAGCAGTAATAAAAGCATATCAGAAACAGTAAAAGAGTTCTATAGAAACCAAAGGTCATATAGTAAATCACACAGACGGAACTCCTTTTGTTATGCATAGGCAATTGCTTACATCTATGTCAGCAGCGAAAGTCCCTGCATGATAGGATACTGATGACTTCTTGATTCTGTTTTTGACTCAATATAGGCTCCACTTGTGTTTGAATCACATTTCACATAATGTCATTTAGTTATAAAGTCAGTGGAAAGTCTACTTCAGAATATATTTAAAATTTTTGATAAATTAATCCAGTTCTTCTAGCAGAGTGACTTCGTAATTTACTTTTTTCTGTTTCAAGGTGAAGTTAATGATTACACTAGATGGCCTGTGATAGAAAGCAATTGCTTTCTGTTTAGACTAAGAAAACAGAAATACTACATTATCTCACTCACAGCTGCTTTATTTGTATGTAGCAGTTCACGCACAGGACAGTAGCAAACTGAACTGACTGGGTGGTATTTTAATGTTTTTGAGAATATGCACACTAGCAAATAAGAGCAACTAAAAAAGAAAATACATCAGAAAAAAAGTGTATTGGGGGGCGCCTAAGATCACTAAAAAAGAGTGTGGGGCTGCAAGCATGTTCTTGCCATAACATGGAGCCTGTCCTGAAGGATACCAGCTCCAAAGTAACGTGAATATAGAAATATCAACAGCCATCTGCACATGCTGCACTTCAGAGGCAAAGCTTATTATTACTACAGGCCTTGTCCAATCACTAACACAGATATATCATCATTATGTAACATCTGTACTGGACTGCACGACAGCATAAGGGCATACAGCTGACGACAGCCACGACTCGTGTCTATGGCTGGGCTGGTGCCACATCACTAAGTATTGTCAACATACCCCTGCTCTTCCCCCCACCCAAGGCTGGTACAACAGCACCCAGATCTCACCTGTACTAGTTAACAGTGCAACAGTAGTAGTAGGTGCCTTTCCCTCCCACTTATCATCCCCTTTTCTTTAAGAAAAAGGGAAAAAGAAGGGGGGGGGGGGGAGGGGAGGAAAAACTAAATCATATCTGCTCTCTATTCACATGCTATTAATAGGTGAGCTATAATTAGGGCCAAATATACCGTTGAATTTTCTCAGGTTTTCATATTTCCACCAGTATTTTCCCCTCTCCTCACCCCCCTCCCAAGAAGTACAGCAAAAAAGACTCCCAAAACTTGAAGGATAGAAAAAAAAAAATCAAAAGAATGAGTTTACTCCCAGAGTAAGCAACCATGAAAATGGCACAGACATGTTAAAAAAAGTGAAAGACATTAAAAAAAACTTTAAAGTACTGATGATTAAGTTTTTTTTTTTTTAATCTACTTTGTAGGTCAGAACTCCATAGTGTGTCATTTAAAATAGGGTTACAACAAGTAGCATTATAGCTAAAGATAATTAGCAGGAAAAGGGAGTGAGAAGAAGCAGGTTCATATTTTAAAAGCATCAAAAAAGAATTACAAAGAAATTTCTCTTTTACTTCTCATGCATCTGCCATTTCCGAAAGTGTTCCTAAGCCTTTACGAAGTAGATGAAAAAAAGTTGAATTTGAGACAAGCTTTCTTATATGGAAGGCATAATTGGAGTGCCCCAGCTTTCTACGGTTGCCTGTTGTTTTTAATAGCTTCTAAAATCATAGGCATAGTAGTGAGTTAATATTTACTCTAATTTCATCACTGAAGTTGCCTTTTAAAAATCCTATTTACAGTTAGTGTTTTAATTCACACTTTTTCAGGTGTTTTGTCTGTCAACTTCCCTTGCATCAGACAGAGACTGCTTGGCCAAGTGGCCTTCACCAGACTGAAGCACCAATTTATTCTGCACCTTCTATCTACACACAAGTAGTTTGGAATTGCATCCATTAAAAAAAAAAAAACCTAAAAAGTTATCATCATCTGAATCTACTTGCAAATGTTTTTAGTAGTTTAAATACAATGACTTGAATGATGCACAAATCACAAGAGAAAAAAAAAGAAAAAGAACAACTTAACTTGGTAATTGGTTTTAATAAGCATAACTGGCCTGCTAGTCATTAGAGAAAGGCTGAACCAGACAGGTGTGTAGCTCATTTTACCTTAGTAACTCTTCCTGAAAGATACATAACAATTACAGAAATGAAACAAGTTGAAATATGGACTAGAAGATGACAAAGGGGAGGCGTTGGGAGACTTGCAAGCATAAAGAAACAGTCCTAAGGGAATGCAGTCAAAGAAAACTCTCCACAACCTGCTCCAACAGGGAGTACAGCCCAGAAGCTACTGCTGTGCTGAGCTACTTCTACCTGGTGTGGCTCATTTAGCAGCACAGGGACCAAGCCCTCCTCCTCCTCCTGCATTTTTGATAGGCAGCATTCCGCCCTCTGGCAACACTGGGGGACACTGAGGAAGATGACAATCTTTACCTCACTCTTGCTTTGCTGAGATTTGTAACCTTCGTTTTACAGAACTAAACCCAAGATTGCCTCTTTTACCCATGTTCACTCACCACACTACCAATCCCTCTCTCATAAAGAGTCCCAGGCTGTTTTCAAGCCATACATTTTACCACCCAGGCCCAGACCTACCTATTTCCAGAAGCAGCCAGGCCCCCTTTCCTCCTCTGCTCCCAGCACCGCAATGGCTCTTACCGATGGCACAGGGGCTTCTGCTCAGGCACAAAGCAAACAGGCCTACTCTTTCTTGCAGACCTTCACAGGAAAAACATTTAAATTGCTGATATTTTTACTCTGTCCCAAAACACCCTTGCAGCATCTTTATGAGCAGACTACAGCACTTTCTACACTTTTCTTACAACCCTTACATCTGCATCATTTTCCATCTGCTGCTCCTCCATTTCCCAGGCACCTCCACAAAATGGCCACCACTCTCCCTGGCAGCGCCTGTTTTGTAGAGAGGGCTGCAGCCACTCCCAGGTGTGGCTGATTTCACTTAAAAGAAGAAAATACTCAAAGTAACCCAGAGAAATGTACTCCTACAGCCAATAAAGGCTGCAAACCCCAGAAACTGTGTGCCTACCTCGGCATAAGCTCATCCCCAGGCATCCGCAAGTGGACCCACTCAGGCTTAAGGGCCCCCACCTGATCGCTCCTACCCTCTCGCTTCTCTCATTTACTCGCTTTGGCCTCCCCCAAACTTCCCAAATAGCCCAATAATAAATCACACCTGACATATCTCTTCAGTGCTGCAATGCCACATTAACCTCTGACATCTTCAAGTATGACTTCTTTAAGATTTGTGCACAAATAATAGCTCCCACAAATTACATTAAAGCAAGGAGTTCCTGCTAGACTGGCTTTGCAGAGGCTTATAATACAAAACACACACTTGCTGTAACAATAAGCATTCTAATTTCATGGCCTGGATTTCTGTACCAAAATACTATTTTTCCTACTCTATCAGGAAAGTAGTCCTAGAGAGGTCAACTGTGTACTATGGACAGCAGCAGGAGTTGCACAGGTTGCTTCTGCGGTTACCCCATGTTACTGGGAAAAGTATTCCATTAAGAGACCATGTTCTTTCCTTCTTTGCTTCTTCCCACATTCAGTTGCTAACTTTTCTCTTTGTCATGTTTTTCCTAGTTTATTCTGAACATTTTACTTCAGTTTATAATCCAAAACTATTTATAAAGTCAAAACGAAAGCCTACATGAACAGGTTATGTTCAAATAATCACTCTATTCATGACTCTCTCAGTTTGCAACCTCCTCACCTGGGTTTTGACACTTTCAAACCCTCAGTATGTTGCAAACTGAAAACCTAATCTTTACTAGACTGCTATAACAGCAGAATTGTAATAATAAATAGCCATGTGCTGTCACTTTTCTGCAGTTATTTAGCACAAATACTGTTAAAAATAACATACCTATCTCCAGATACATTTCCAAGAGAAGGGAAACATGAAGCATGATAACATCAAATAAAGTAAAGACTGAAAAACTGGGGCAGAATTGCAGAAGTAACAAGGGAAGGTTCATTATATATACTAAAAAGACAATTTATCTCTGGATGTAGGAAAGTTGTGGTTTCAGGCAAATATGCAAGTAATACAGGAAGCAGGAAAACCTTAATGTATACACTGTGCCAAAGAAGTGAGTTTAGTAAACTGGAAAGCTACCTATGATTACGATTGTTGTATGGTTCAGATTATTCATGCACATAAAAACCCTCAAGAAAGATTACATATTTGTTCAGGTAAATGTATTATACTGGTGTAATTTAAAAGAACTGAATGGCCTATGTTCTTATTTTCCCCACCCAGAATTCCACTTTGGAAACAATCCAAACCTATAAAGTTTTAACTGCATTTTGTAATTGTTAGGAGAAAAAAATGCTGAGGCTTTACTTTCCTGACAATGTCAGATATGCAGCTATATCCATTTTTTCTTTTTCTGAAGTATACAGAGAAACTGAATTCCGACTTTTTCCTCTATGAGTTTTACAATAAGATGAAAAGAATATATGTTTCCTACAAAATGCTTTGGTTTGCAATATATTTAAACTTTAATCTTTATGAAAAGAACTGTAGTTGCAAATGACAACAAAACCCAAAAAATCAGTTCAAATGTTTTTATGTTTTCTAAAGTAGTTGGCTTATATAACAGTTCTATCACTGTCTTAAATATTCATAGGTAGTTTTGTGACTGTTTATGTTAGGGTAGTATGGGTAGTATAGGGTACCCTTATGATAGTAAGGGTAGAAATTCATAAAAAAAACACACCAAAAGTATTTAAACTGAGCAAGGAGATACATTAGAAGAGAAAGAATTGAAGAAAAGACAATTCTAATAAACTCGAGATACATGTTTATATATGTAACACAATATTGTCTGCCATTAATTAAGTTTTCATTCATTTCCATTACATAATCTATGTTTGCATTTCCTAAAACAATTGGTCTTATCCAAGTTTATATTGTATTACACTCACTCCAAAAAATGACCTTATGTTGCTCTTCTGAGCAGATTTCATGAAAAATACCGCTGCAAATCTTTTATAAACTTATTTATATGAACATTTCTTAATATAAGTTCCAGGATGCCCGAGTAAAATTTTATTTATTTCCAACATTCCAACAATACATTTTTGAAGACAAGATCCCAAAGTTTATTTTGAGATAAGATCAGATTCCTCTACTCAGCTCTGGTGAGGCCGCACCTGGAGTACTGTGCTCAGTTCTGGGCTCCCCAGTATAGGAGGGACGTGGAGCTTCTGGAGAGGGTCCAGAGAAGGGCAACCAGGATGATTAAGGGAATGGAACATCTCTCGTATGAAGAGAGGCTGAGTGAGCTGGGCCTGTTTTCTCTGGAGAAGAGACGGCTCAGAGGGGATCTGATTAATATGTATAAGTTCAGGAAGGGAGAATGCAGGGAGGAAGGGGACAGGCTGTTCTCACTGGTGGCCAGCGACAGGACGAGGGGTAATGGCCACAAGCTGAAACACAAGAAGTTCCGTCTCCAGGTGAGGAGCAACTTCTTTACTGTTAGGGTGACAGAGCAGTGGAACAGGCTGCCCAGGGAGGTTGTGGAGTCTCCTACTCTGGAGGTCTTCCAAACCCGCCTGGATGCCACCCTGTGCCACACGCTGTAGGTGTGCCTGCTTGAGCAGGAAGGTTGGACTAGATGATCTGTAGAGGTCCCTTCCAACCTTAAACCTTAAATATTCTGTGAATCTGTGAATCAGACTGCAACTAGAGTAATGCCACTTCCTACATCTATCAGGAAAATCTCTCTTCACAGTTAATGTCAGTGGCAATGAATATAAGTTTGCAGGCAGAATAAGTATTAACACTAAGCTATTAAGTGTTAATACCTTAATTAAGGTGAACACCTTTGAAATGTGCTACTCTCTATATTTTATGATATTGAAAAGGGTTTTAAAAATGGCCTAATTGTCAAATACAGCTACTAAGTCTCACTTTGCAATCATGTCCTGATACTAGATTAGTGTTGTGTTTCGAGAAAAAGCGAGCAGTTCATAATAGGGACTTGCATTGTTATCATATGCAAATACTTCTATTTGTATTCTTACCAGTTTGTTTTCCATATCACACAAACAATAAACAGTTTGTTTTAAATAGAGCTATTATAAATAGTTATACATTATAAAGTTTGAAACTTTGGGTTTAGTAAATAAAAATACACCAAAGATGGTCATACCAACATCTCAGTTTTTAGAAAGTCCTTGGTGAGTTTTGCCTGTAATTGGAAATTATAATGTATGCTTCTGAGGTAATTAGTAAAATAAATAATGAAAAAGTAATTTCTTGAATGCTCTATTTGCATTAGCACAAAAAAAGGAAATAAATATTTTAAAATTCTATGACTACTCATGCAAATTAGAACTGCCTTACAAAGTTATATAAACATCTCTGCAAATTTTTTTGGAACTCATTTTTTATGTTAAACTTAGAAATTCTGCTCTTTTGATTTTTTTTTCCTCATATTTGTCCTTGTATTTTCCGCAGAAATATTAGCAACCCTTGGAAAAAGGGAATAAAGGAAAAAAAAAAAAGAAAACTGACAGTGTCTTTAAATAGAAAAAAAATGGTTTAATAATTTTGAAAAATATGATTTTATGTTTTAAAAATTAAAATTACTTGTTCTCTCCATTCATTGGTGTCAGTAGTTCAGAGAATGCTCGCTGAGTGAATGTTTTGCATCAATTCCTCCTCTAAACCAGATGGCAGTGTTTTACTTCAGACCTTCATCCCTTTAGCTAAATGACTTTGTTCAAGGCACTCTGTTTATCCTCCTCACAAGGTATGAAAAGCTAGATCAAATGCATTTCACCTCTTCATTTTTAAATGACTTAATTATTAACTTGAAAGGAACTTTTATGTTCAAAGACTCTAGAAATCTGTAAGGAGCCTTTCTAGTTAACAACAGCTTCTTACAAACAGAGGTCATGTCTGAAGAGTCCTTCAATTCATACATCCCATCCTGGGCTCAGGCAGAGTATCGACCAGCTGCATTCACAGCAGGTAGGTGAGGAGGTACCTGGCCCACGGCTGTCGCTGAAGAACAGAAAGGGTTCTGGTAACTAAGAAATCCTCTTCCTGTGCACGCCGCAAGGACTGGAAAGGCAGTGCTCAGCAGCATGACTTTTTACCAGCATGTAGCACCTGTGCATTAATTCTGGTGACAGGAACAGCTAAGAAGCTGTTCCTCCCAGTCCTCTGCACTGAAGTGGACTGTGTGCACTTGTGGTCAGTTATAAACAAAAGGTGTCCCTACCACCTCAGATGTCCCACGCATGAAAGGTTATTTTGTCTCAGGGCTCAGCTCCATCATTTCAGCTCCATCTCTTCAGGAGCTTTAGTTTGTGAACTATCAAGCTCTAGGGAATCTGAGTGTTGTGCAAGGTTGCACACCAGTGTGGGATCACAACCTCAGCCACGAGGTTGTGCTCACTGCCTTTCTTGTTTAGGAGTGTTCCAGCAACATCTTCTCCAAATTAATCATTTCAGGAGGAGTCAACATTAAACTTCTTACTTCTTCATTACTTCTTTTTAAATGTAAAAGATGTATTTGAGATAGTTACCAGCTGTATGATAGCGATCATAGCAGCCAGAATATGAAAAAGCTACCGTCTATGATATATGATTCCCAAATATTAAACTGCCTCTTCTAATTTATTTATGATCCTGTTCCTCTGACAAATATATAAATAGTACTACATGTGTATACATATTCATTTAGAGGTTCACAAGAATAACACATACATACACACTTGAATACTCCTATTGCTATAATTTTCCGAGTGTGTTAGGATACATAAAAATGAAGACATCTTGTAATGTGGTAACTATGTAAATATAATTGACCCCCAAAGTTTTC